TATATCTTTTAAATGTCTCGCCCTTTCGTACTAGAAGGTAAATTTAAAAAAAAAAGAAAAAGAAAAAGCCTTATATCAGAACACATAAAATATGATAAGGTAGCGAAGTCTATTTCCAAAGTAATCAGAGATGACGTAAAATATGATAAGGTGGCGAAGTTTATTCCTTTCAGTAATTTCTCTAATTCCTATTCACCTTACTTCTGAGGAAAACCGGAAGTATTTACTGGATACCGCTTTTCTCGTTTCTTCATGGAAGGAGGTATAGCTTGCTTGTCTGACATATCCAGGAAATGCTGAATCTTTTTTCGTTATCTTTAAGCGGGCAGGAATATTCTCTAAGAAACGAGTCATGTATTCGCAACTGCTTCCTTTTTTTAATCCTAAGCGAGGCAAAACAAATCTATTATACTTGTTTCAGTTTACAGGATTCATTATTGTAAAAGTTTGGGTGGGACAATCTAAATCTTTGCTTTTTTAAACATTGAATAATTTTGATTAATAAGAATTCTCTTTCAATTGTGTTGTTCAAATATGTGTTTAAAATTTTTAAACTATTAAATTCATTTGCTTAAACTTTCTGTTTTCTGAATTTTCTCGGAACATTTTCCAGGGTCATCGACGCCGATGCTTTTTTTGACGAATTTGCAAGCAAATGATAAAGTTGGACCATACATTTTTCGACTAGAAGTTGCAGATAGTAAACGACAGAATGATTCGACAACTGTTGATATTTTAGTGAATAAAGCTATCAATTCTGCTCCAAGTATTATTTTTCTGATTTGGGGTTCTTTTTTCCGTAATACTTATATATAGGTCTTATATGTAGGTTTACACATATTGTTTGCTATTGTTTTCTATCCTTTATTCGGATTACTGTTTTCCAATTACTGTTTTCCACTTAAAGTAAGGGCATTGGAGCTGATTATTTTCGCGCTATTTAGATTTTATATTACCGTTTTAACGAATGGGACAAAACATCATAAAAGGTTTTTGAATTCTTTAGTTTGAAAATATTTTCTCATGACAAATTTGAAAGATAAAATTGCATAAAATTATTCAGGTACCTTAAAGCATCAACAATAAATTTCAACTCTGGCTACTAAGACCTAAAGTCAAAAATTCTCCGATGTGTTGGATCAAATCTTCGTCTTATTTTTTATTTTTCTTGTTTTCTTGAAATTCTTTTTATTTTTAGTACCTTATGCTGGTGGAAATCAAACAATTCAACTACCAACTGAGTCAGTGGTTCTTGATGGGAATGTCAAAGATGATGGACAAATTTTATCTTATAACTGGACCCAAATAAGGCAATTTATTTAGTTTTTATTTAATGTTTGTTTCTGAAATAGCAAATCACCTACCGAACATTTCCTAAGCCAGAAAAGCTACTGACTCTTTATGTATTGTCGTTACTAAACTGTTTTGATTTTTTCTCGAAATTGTGGGAGATGGAGCCTGTATTTCATGGCATAAGAGGTTTTATGTCGATTAACGGTTAAGAAAATGTTACCACTCACCAGTGTTGGATAGCTTCAACTCGTCCAGGATTTTCCAGAATTGGGGAGGATAAACTGGAAGCATGAGCCACCAATTCAACTGTTTCTGATTCATAGGAATGCAGTTCCTCAAGAGTTTATTTTTTCCTTTTTTTTTGGAGGACAAAAAGTATAAACGATTTTGCGCAAGAATGAAAGCTAAAAAAAAGACTGGGAATGAAGATTGATATATTCCTACTCTATTCGAGATAAAAGATTGTGTCCTTGCTTTTTATTATTGTTCTTACAGGTCTGAGACTAGTGGTATCGAAGAAGGTAATAGTTAAGAAAGATAGCTCGCTTCGTTTTTAAAATATTCTTAAAATAAGTTAGCTGGAAAATCAAATTTCTTGTGGTGAAGAGTAGGCCGGGAGAGTAGGAAGGTCATTGGTTTCAGTTGTTCAACTTTTTAGTTTTATACTCACTTAACTTTACCTTGAATATAATATTCCTTTACATTTTTAAATTTTCAGTGGACCGAACATGTTGAAAATTGTTAATCAGGATAGATCAAAGTGTACGTTGTTTGGATTTCAAGAGGGAGTTTATCGCTTTCGTTTAAATGTCACTGACGATGGCGGTCTCTGGGGTTCAGATGATGCTTATATTATTCTTATCAGAAGTAAGCTTGAAAATGGGTCCTTTCAAAGTTTTTGGTGGCGAATTTTGGGAAATTCTAAGATTTTTTGTCCTAACATTACATGCTGAATCTTGAAATCCTTACCATTTTATTCATATTTGCACGTTCTTTATTTTACGTCCCATTATTTGTTTAATTATGTAAATTCTAAAACTTCTTTGTTACGGTAATGTGTGAATATAATGTATAATCTAAAGTATTTAGGCAAAAATGAAGCACCGGTAGCAAAGGCGAAAGATTTGACTATTACTTTACCAGCAAGCGTGGCATTTCTGAATGGAAGTGAATCCTCAGATGATGCCGGAATAGTTCGATGGCTGTGGACTGCTCACGATGATGTTCCAGCTTGTATTGTAAATGTTGCATTATTTCACTCCCAAACACTATTTTTTAGGATTTCATTTGGACTGTTTAAGGATTCTTACTAACTCTACATCCTTGTCTTCATAATTTTCAGACATTCTTAGGCAATTCGAAAGTGGAATCAGTGGCGATATTGACTGGTTTAGTCCCAGGCACATTTTTGTTTGATTTAGCGGTTTGGGATCATTCGGATGTAATGAATGCAACAACCGTCGCATTAACTATTTTTGTAGGCAAGTAAATTTATTATTTGAATTCAGTTCTCTAGACCACGCGTATTTATTTTTTGGTTTCATATTCGTAAAGAGTTCCTTCAGTAACTAGGTCTGCAAATGAAGCTTTGGCAGAGCGAGTTGATGGAAATACTTTTTAGATTTTTTATGGTCAAAATTCTCATTGCTTATGCTCCTTTTCAACCCTCTATCACGTTCTGAGATACTAATTATTCTTTTGTGAAATATTTTAACATTATCTTGAATACCTTTTCCACTGGATATCACTCTTCCCGCAATTTGGAGGTAGTTGTGTACTTCTAGTGGATATTTTTCAACTGTATAGAAAATGATAATTTCTAGGTATGCCGCATCTGCAGTCGGTGGAAATGTACTTAAAAAAGCAATTTGGTGAATTTACATATCGTGTTAAAAATAAATTCGAAGAACGGCTCAGTGCAACTCTTTCGTCGCAGGTACTCCTTGTTGTTGATTTGAGTGGTCCCACTGGCCAGTGTTTTTTAATGTCTATGATTAACATTTTTACGGATTTATGGGAAGAGATCAAATAAATCGGTTTTTCTGATTTTTCGCACAGGTGAAAAATCGTTTGATGTCCATAAAGTTTCTTGAACAATGCTTTAAAAAAGAGTGCATGTAAGGAATTCGTATAGAAACATTTTTGTCACAAATCTTGTTTTAAATTATTTTACAGATAGAAGAAGCAAACGACGTAGTAGTCGTATTTTCATCTATTGATGAAGATTTCAGTACAGGCCGAATACGAATCGTATTCCAAGCTGAACGTGTTAATATCGCATTTCCTTCAAGTAATAATTTGTAGTTTAACCATTTTGACTGATAGCTCATATGAATTTTTGAAATTTTTCTCGCAAATGTGAATCAGCTAACCATGTGGAATTTTTTTTTTATGCGAAGAAATTTATGAAGGATTTTCATTGCTTGCGTTGAATTTTTGGGCAGTCGATGATTTTACTGAACAAATTTAGTAATACATGTTTTTTTAGAGAGAAGTATGGCAGGAATTTCACAACAAAGGAGTGAGAAAGTAACGATTATAGAAGCATGGGAGATTGTCAAGATTTTACGTTCAGAAACGACTCTGATGACAGGATTCAGTGTTGATTCTATTGATGCTTTATGTAAGTTATCTGTTTTACTAATACTTTCTCAAATAACTGACTATTCAAATGTGTAATATTCATATAGACGCGTCTGACATCTGTGGTTTTAGTTCAGTAACCACTCTCCATTTCTCATAATTTGTCATTGAATGGAATTAATGTTATAGTACTCGGAGTTAGATTACAAAAAAGTAGTAACATGAAGCACATTAATAATTATCTTCAAAGATTGATTATTTTTCAAACGTATTTGTTAAAAATAAAGAATGGAAAGTCAGACTTGTCATTGTAAAATTTCATGACAGATTGTACTCGAAATTGCTCAGGGCACGGTATGTGCAATAATTACACAAAAGAGTGTGACTGCGACAGATATTGGATGCCAAGTCTTGTATCTTACATCGTTTTTGGTTCCAGAATAGACTGTGGCAAGCTTTTCACTATTTTTTTTAACACTTATTTTGGATATATTTAATTCCCTATTAGTCTGTTTTGGAAATACAGTAAATAGTCATAATTGAATGATATTGAAGATGGTAATAAATCACGAAACTAGTAAGAGATTTAACTTATTTTAAATTATCAACATTATTTTCAATATTCCAAACACATCCATCCAAATTGATCTTTATCTTCTTTCTGCTGCTGATCGTATTTTTGCGGCAGAACGAAAGAATGTTAATCAGAGAGAAAATATTGCAAGCCGTGACAGCTTGCGTACTTTGCTGTTGTCCATCTTAAAGCAAAGCGATGTTTGTATATTTATTATTCATAGCCGGTACAAGGATTTTTTTCTCTTAGAAGTAACTGTGACTCCAGTAGCAGACAGTAATATGGAAAGCGCAGAAAGCAGCTCCAGTGATTAATGATAGTATACGTTCAATACTGGAAACAGCTATTAATCTCTTTCTCTGACACTGATTATAAAAATATTAAGTTGGAAATTCCCTGATAAGCCAATTATTGCTAAGCTTTATAGTTTACATATTTTTATCATTAGTATTGCTTTTTGCTGTTGAGATTTGTTATAATCACAATTTTGAAAAACCGCTTCATTCATTGTCCACTAGTCCTACATGATCCTTGATTTTTTTGTCACTCAGGGAAAGTTTTATATTATTTTATTACAACATTGAAAAGGAGTTTGATGCAAGGTTGTTGTGCAAAACGATATTTATGTTTTCAGCTTGGTCGGTGCTTTATTTTGCATTGTTGTCAGTATTATTATTTACTCTTATTACGTTCTTAATTGCTCGAAAAAGTTTGCAAACTTCGTATGAAGATTCCAATATAAGTAAAATTTTCAACTTAACTTTTTAAATTGATTCCAGAAATGATTTCGGTGACATTGAAGTGTACTGTATTTCTTATCCCTCTACCTCTTTTTTATTCGTATGTTTTTGCATGTTCCTTTTTATAGGTTTAGTTAAATTTAATATTCGTATATTTTTTAGTGAAATATTGTCTACCATCACATATGTAAATATTCTAGGTAATAATCGTTATCGAAAGAGAAGGCGTACACGTAAAGCTGCCGTCAATACTGAAAGGAGATTGAATGAAACTAAATCTAACGGATATGTCAAAAGTAAGAATTTACTTTTTCCTCAATATACTTACATATAATATATTTTGTTTATAGTAATTTTTCTTCATACTTTTTTTATGGAGACACCGTTAAAATCGAGTTGGTACTCGATTTTAATAAAAATCTTTGCAAAACACTCTCCAAGGGGGCGAGTAGAAGGGCAAGCGGATTTTCTGGCAATGCATTATGTGCAGTAGTCATTTACCTTGGCACAAGTAGAGAAGTTCAGCTCTGCGGCACATGTGTTCTGGCAACTTTTGCCAGGAAAACTTAAGTTTTATTACTTTCACTTTTAATATTTTTTATCAATCAACCTTTCCACAAGAGAGTAAATTGAAGCAGTCAACAAATGGTGAAATAGTTGTCATTACTAGCCTCTCAAGAATGGATGGACAGCACGGCACCAACAGGAAATACACTGAACTGATATTCCCTCATTATTCAAGTTTTGTATCGTTTGTCTTTTATCCATTCCGCAGAGGAACTTATGAACAAAATGTTGGAGATAACTATTTTTGTCGGAGAAGTTATACGAGTAGGAAATAGTAAAGAAAGAGTAGGAAATAGTAAAGAGAATAACCGAAAAGGAAGAAGGTTGCACCGAGCATGAAAAATGTAGGAAAATGGTTCCGAAGTACTAGTAAGAATGAGAGAAGAACTAAGTCTAGAAACTTATTCCTATAAAAAATAGCTCAGATTTATTGGACAGCTAAAGATGAATTATAAAGTCAAAGATGGCTTTTGTAATTACAAAATTCAAAGATAGCTTTTATCATTTTATTCGTGATGGATGGTTGCTTTCTTGACCTACGAATTTTCCTACAAATTTTTCCTTTAATATATTTTAATATTAAGGTTATACTTCAGTGTGCAGTGCTCATTGTGGTTTTAAATTCATTTGATTTAGTTCAGCATCAAAGTTTCGACCAGTGCTTTTTCTAACCCGAGTCAATTCTTGGTATATAAATGAATAGGAACACTTTTAGTTAATTAGTTACTATTTTTAAGGCAACAGGGATAGCTCATCTTATGCGTTATTGCTGGCAGCAGAAAGTTCAAGTTCGGAGTCAAAAACAAGCAAATCGTCGAAAAAATCAAATTCAAGCAATCGACGCTTCATTTCAAATAGTGCTGCATCCTTTGATTTCGCTTAATGAATCTGAATGCTGTCTTGTGATTGTCTCTTTAAGTCTTTTTTTGGTAGCAGTTCTTTTTTTGGAGTTTTTTGTTTTTCAAGAGTTTCATAGTTTTATAGCACAAATACACCCGGCACTCTGCCATCTCATGGGTAAGGATTTTGTTGCTGGGTCCTGAAACATGAAGTATCCTTTCCTTTAAGTGAAGATATATAATCCTGCTATTATGTTTTTCAGAGATAAGATTATATTTTATGCTGGGGGCACGAATTTAAGAAGGATTTCTTTTGGACTTTACAGAAAATTTTATCTTAAGATAGTTGAAAATAATTTTCCATTATCAATTGTCCTAAGTGTTTTTCGGATATTTTCTATTTTATTCTGCATATCGGAGTGTGTGCTTCGTACATTCAAGTTAAAAATCCGTGGACATGGACAAGAATTGTTTTGTGATTCCATTTTATTTAGTCGACCTTAACTGAAAACAAGATTGGACCGTGGTATCTGTTTTTTCTTAATGTTATGTTTTTCATATTTGTTTCTTTCAGTTTACAGTAATGGTGATTTATTTTTGATTTTGCAAATGTTGGTTTTATTATTTTCTTTACTGTGTATTACACGATCATTAAACAAATATTAGTTTACGGGATTTTAACTTCACGTTAAAGTATTGTTGGAGGGATTCTGTATTGCGGGGCGATTCTTTCGATAGTGAATTGTTTGTACTTTCATTTATCATCGTAGTTACTGATTTTGGATTCTCGAAATATGAAGCAGTAATCATTTATTGTATTGGTTAAACTTGTTTTTATTCGTTCATTATGGGTATTTTATTTTATAATGTCATGTTTTTTCTTAGTTTTTATTTATATTTTGTTCGCCGTATACGAATTATCAGCTTACATTATCCTGAATGATTTAGACATTGCCCATACTTGCGAGATTTCCATAAAATATGAATGAAATAATTATTAGATATCCTTAGTGCTGTAATTGAAGAAAAATTTATATTCAAGCTCCACTTTCCTGATAAAATGTTTGAGATTCTAAATTTCGGAGGTTTTCAGTGATTGTTATTCAGTTTAAAATTAATGACATATTTATTAAGGTTCATTTTAGATGGGATATGAAGTTTTTTAATATGTATCCATTTCCTCAAAGCGATTCTTTTGCTTCTTGTATCCCATTTTCGATTTTTGGGAATAAAAATTTACTTTGATTTTAAAAGGATTGAGTAACGACCTCGTTGTACGAAATGATTTCTTTGTTGACTAGGGCTGAAGAATCATTGCGCTAGAAAATCATTGGTCGTAGGTACAGTGATTTTTGTTTGTCGTTCTAAGATTGAAAATAGGCCATGAATGAAGCGAAACTTTTGGTAAGTAGAAAATTGTTGAGAGTTAGTGACGAACATTTTGCGGTTCCCTTTCAAGTGGGAGCTGCAATATTATAGAACTCCGACTTTCGCGTATTAATTCAGTCATTTAAGAATTTCAACGAACCCATAACATATTGTTCAGTCCAGTCATTGCAGTCGGTGAATCAGTTGTTAATGTTACGCGAAAATCGAAATGTTGGAAGCATCAGTTCCAACGGTAGAGGATCACTGTCGAGTGCTTATTTACGTTAAGCAGTTCGGTCCTCGATCACCGGCTTTGTTTAATTGCCTTCTGGAACGATTACAGCGAGTGCAGTGCTTGCAAGGTTTTATTATACATCCCAAGTTGAGGGTGGTCCATCTAGTTTGGTCCGTTTGGGCCATTGGGCACAATATTCACATTAATCATCAATTTCTTAAATCATTTGGCAATTTCTTAAACCATTCATTTTCTTAAATCAATATTCACATTAATCGTCAATTTCTTAAATCACTTAGCTACTGCGCTGATGACCTAGCAGTTATAGCAAATGAAGAATATGTTTTAAAGGGCAAATCCTTTCTCTGCGTTCTTGCCATTTCTAGCGTCGGCTTCATAGAAGCACCTAGTTTGGCATTAACATCATATGTCGGCCTAGTTTAGGCTTACATTCTCATAGAACTCCATCTTTGCTTCTGTTTCCTCTAATAATCGTTGATCCTTCATCCAAGTGAGATTTTTGAGCAAAAATAAAACTTTTGCTCCAACTTTTCTTTATGTATTCTATTTTTTGTTTCCAATCACTTTTGCAGTATCAGATAACCCGAAAAGGATTTTCGTTGTTAATTTTATTGCAACAGTCAATACAGATTTGATCAGATTTGGCGAACTTCAGGTTGTTTTTTGATAACATCAAACATACGCTGAATTCCATGGCTGTTTGTTTTCCCTACGGCACAGTTTGCTTCTTAAACCTCAGCGCGACTGCTTGCTTATTAAGATAGGATATGAGACTGGAATTAGTCTATTCTTAAAAAAAAGACGAAACTGTATATTTTATTTTGTCTGTTGATTTGTTTCCTGCAGAAGTCGTTCTAGGCTCATCGTCGTATCGTTGGATTTATTGGCGTTGTTCAAGCACCAGTTGAAGATGAGGGAGCAAAAGCATCACAGCAACTTTCCGATGAAGATACTACAGCAGATCATAGAGTTAACATTTCAAATCCGAAAATATATTTTCTTGCAAAAATCAAGGACCAATACGACTTTGTAAAGGTATCACTTATTTGGAAGAGAGAGTCGTTGTTATGCAAAAAAATTCGGGAAGAATCAAAAAATTCAAGGAAGCAACCACATTTCATGTTCGATTTCTGGAAACGATTCGATAGTTTAGAATATGAATCGTTTAAAACGATTTTCTGTGTTAATAATTTTAATTCAAAAACAAAATTGTTAATCGAGGAAAAAAATTATTTTAAAAAATTGCGATTGATAGTTATAGACTGAGTATGCGTCAACTGTTGTGGATTCGCGATGTATTGTTATCGGGTACCCAGAAGTATGTTTTTTTTTTTTGCTTGCTTGCTTCGAAATTTTCTTCCGTAAAAAAGCATAAAGAAAAGGTCATATCTTAGTAGTTTTCGCAGGGCAATAGAGATCAAAGTTTTAATAGAGAATTAACTCAAACCTCTCAAATTGAATTCCCTTTTTGGGCCTAATGAAGTCCAGTCTAGTCTTTGCCGGAGGAGATAAGAATTATCCTGAAGATTGCCTAATTCCTGAATAAGTGAGAAAGGAACTGCACCTATTTGGGGTGCTGGCTATTAATGAGTCTGATAAGATCATAAATCAAGGTCCTAATTGATCTGAGAGTATGTCCCATTATTTGAAAGCGCGTGTGATCTGCAGGAATCCATAAAAGCATTGTGGTCTTCGCGAGAACTATTTTGTTTCAAAACTCTTGATGATGTTGATTCACTGGAAATAGGTATACGAGATTTTCTACGCTCTATTTATTACGTTCTGGAAAGTCGTCGGCTTGATCTTTCCTTCGAAAAGCTGGAATGCCCAGCATGTCCGGCACTAATTGACGAGCAGAAATATCGTCAAGGCTTGGAAAATAAAACCAGCAAAATATACAGGTTGGTGCTTTTTCTATATGTAGTATCTCTGTAATATCGTGGCGTATTTTTCCCATCACATAATTTTGGCAAATGTTTAAACGATTGTCGTAAACTTACCTTCTGTCATCCACTTCCTTTTCTCTTGCAACAGTCGTTCCATAGTAATGTGTAAAGCTTTTTATTTTGTTTTTGTTTTTTCTAGCATTCTTTGCTGCTGTTTTCCAAAGTTTCGAATATCACAAATAGAGCAATTTTAAGCTAAAACTCTTACTAGAAAATGCACCAACCTGCTGACTCATTCCTTGTCACCTAGATATGCGTAAATCTCTCGAAGATTAAACTGATCAAACTCTCCTACAAAAAAGTGTTTTTTTTACCAAAATACACTTAGGAAAAAATGCATTGGTCGCCTTCGGAAACAAGTTGCTGATTACACACTTATGACAGGGTTGCCCACTTTAGCAATGGATTCCTACCAGTCAGCGATCGAATTCCTCAAACAGGCTAATGATTTACTTTGGCTTGCTGGTATGTGTTTTAATGTGCTCGATAGAAATCGCTTATGATTTTATCAAACGTATTTTTGAGACTTTAGTTAAAAGAAGAAATAAAATTCCAGCAATCGGCTTCGTGGACTTCTGAGATCAGGGTCAGTCTCTGAAGTTTGGAAGCAGATCAGTTTTATTCGGAGATTCACTGAATGATTCACTAAATCCTGTAAATCTTGACTAACTGTAATCCTCATACAACACACCTGGCTTTCGCGAATGTGTGTGAACATTTTTTAGCTGCTTACGAAGGTTGGGCTTGCGCAGCGATAGTAGCAAAGTATGATCTAACAGAAGAATACGCTTCTATTAGTGGAATACAACGAATTTCAACAATGACTTCCGAACGGATTCTTTCGACGCGTAGAACAAGCGAGTATGGTACCGGGTAAGTTTTTCGAGGAATCATTGACTTGCGAATTCCAAAATTAAGACAAAATAAGTCCCAGAGTTAATTACTACTCTCTTACAAGAGCGTTCTCGAATTCTTGTAGAGTTAGACAGTTATTACTTATTTTTATACGCTTTTAAAAATTGGTAAGTTAAATTGAAAGTAACAGAATAAATCAACGAAAAAGATGCGCTATTTCAGTCATAATATATAATGTATTTGTAATATACTATTGAAGTGCTTCGGCTGGACATCAGAGACATTGGTCGGATGAAGAATGTTCCTTAAAAACTTTGTCTTCATTAGGAGAAATTCAAAGTTTTGATGAGCGTTCTTTTCGTCAGTCTTTCCGATTACGTTGGAGTGGATCAGCTTATAATAAGTTAGACATTTTGATTGTCTATACCTAGTCTATGTTTGCAGGTTTTCTAAGAAATTCCCAGAATTTCATCTTGTATGCATTTTTTTGGAGAATTACTAGATTATTGAGGTGTTTGATTAACTTCCTTTATGTTTAATCTTCGAATTCATTTTATTTTGTTAACATCTGCAGAAAATTTTTCTCAAGTCACTGCTACAGATCAGGGAAGTGTGGGATCAGTTATATGGAAATTATTGAAAAATTCAAAGCTGCATTGGAAAGCTACGAAAGATTTTCATTCGTTGTATGGGTTGAATACGAATGCATGATGAAAGCTGCTTCTGTTTTTCGATATCAACGTTTATATGTAGATATGGAGGTTTGTGATTTCCGCAGAAGGTTGGAAAAAAATTTCCCATTTCAAAGTTCAGAGACTCTTTTCGATTAAAATTATTAGAGGAAGCATTCATAAGAACATTATTATATCTTCTTAGCAATGTACACTGCTTTAAAAAACTTGTGGACCTGACTTGAGAGATAAACTGCGATCAACAGTTTCGATGTGTTGCTTCTAGAAGTTCCAGACTTGCTGGATGTGGGCTGTTGAAATCCAAATTTTGTGGAATATTTTCTGCTGTATAATATTTTAGGGTTTCATAAGAGAGCATATTGGTAAATATCTTGATGACAGCTTTAATCAGTTTGGTCATTTCACAAAAGCTCTGATATGTCTCAATTCTGCAGAAGTGTACCGCAAAGTCGGTGTTGTTTATGAATTTTCTCATGGATTTTTTTTATCTTTCGCATGCTAATCAGTTGGACTCATTAAATTCCACTAATCTCTGAACTTTACGATATAATGAAAACCTTGGTCATATAATAAAACAGCCTCTCTTAGCTGATCTCATTAGTTATAAATCCATTTAAAGACATAAAAAAGGATGTTATGTGGATAGAACTATTTCAGATTGGTTTTAATCGGAAATGTGCATTTTTTGCTCGTCTAGGGGTTTTGTTTCGCTTACATATGGCAGAAAGCGGGAATCGCAGTGTCGCAGACTATCGACAAGTGTATCCGGTATTATACAGAACACTGACTGGTTATGGGATGCCTGAGAATCCAAAAGAGTTCTCAAGTGATTTAGTGAGATTAGGGCCGGTACATATTCAGAGAAGAGCTTTGCATGAAGTGTTCATGAGCGCATTACGTGCTGAATATTATGATGCAGCTATACGCCATCTGTGCTATATTTTGCAGGTTTCTAATGCGATCCTTTGTTTTAATCATTTGACATTTTCTACATGTGTTCCACTGTCAGCCTAATAAGCAATGGAACTTTTTTCGAGTAAGAAAGGGGGAGCGGAGGAGGAAGGAGGAGAATTGACAGCAGTTGAAATTGGTTGAAATTGTACAGCACTGAAAGCTATCCTCTTCAAGGCTGGGAAAATTATTCAAGTATCTCGCATTTCCCCAACTTCAAATTATATCTCTTGGTTTTCCAAATAAACAAATATGGAACTTTCTCAAAATTCGACTTTTAGGAGAGGAGGAAATTGAACTACTGTGATTGGCAAACGACGAACCTTTCTTTTTTCTAACCCAAACCATGCCTAAAATCCTACTTGTAAAAAGTTTCCAACATTTTTTTTAAAAATTGTTTTCAGTCTGCTGCTTCTTCATTCAATCTTTTTATTAAAAAATGATCTTAAGAAAATTTTCACTCATAAAAGCATTTTTAAGGTCTATTACGATTACATGGATCAAGAAGCATCCGAGCAAATGCTTGGGGAACTGACCAAATTAGTAACATCTCGGGGTGTTCAGCACCAGCTCAATCAACATATTTCATTACCCCAGCATGGACTTATTATACCGCCAATTCAGATGATACGTTTCCCAAAGCTTGAGTACAGTTTCTAATTCACTTTTTCCTATTATAAGAAATAATATATCGATTTTGATAGCTTCGAAGAAACAGAAAATGCTATCCTTTACCACGATTGATTTGATGAATAGATATTTCATTTATGCACTATTACAAAGGGTTCATAATGTTTTTATTCTACGCGTTCCCTTACTGCATAAAAACTGCGCCATTTGTCATTGAGACACGGCATTTCAATTTGCAGGAAGTTCGCGGTCTGTCCACTTCCGGGACACCTTGCTGCCACAGTTATTCGACCAAAGCTTCATTCCGACATATTTATATATTCTCCATTTCAACATGAAATTGCTTCGAAAGGTTTCTTTGGTGTATTATTTTTTTGTTAAAAGTAAATAAAGCAAAGATATATTTTGTATTAGCTTTTTTTGTGGGGTGCGGGGAGGGGGTATTTGTGAAATTGTTAATTTTTTTTTCAGATGAATGATTTATCAGCAATTTATAGTTACGTGGGTTCAAGATTGCGCTTGCGAGGTTTCCGTTTCGGTAATTAATTGTCTGCCATGCGAATTATCTGTATCCAACCTCGAATTACTCTCCGAAGGCTGCGCTTTTGAGCCAATCCCTGTACGACTCACTTTACCTGCATGTGGTGGCAACACGGAAGCTGTGGATCTCAAACTCATTGGAGTACCCAGGCGAGTTTATTGATTTCTGTAGCTCTAAGCCGGATATTCTATTAAATGTACGTTATAAATGTTCAGAATTCTGATTTTTTCCCTTTCAAAACTTTGAAGAAATTTAAATTTAAAAGCTTCATGGATTCAGTACACAAAAATTGTCTGTATTTCAAGTGGCTGAAATACTAAAAACTTGTTGCAAAAGTTAGGGGGATCAAGAAAAATCATGTGAGTTCAAGACTTCTAAAGCACTGCTTTTGAGTTCGATCTATATCTTAATCTTTCAAGGGAATCGGGACGACTCACTATAACCGGTTATTCGTGTGAAATATTGGGTGTGCGTAATGTTTGCAGATTACGGGATTTTCCGGAACGCGTAAAATCGAAGGGCTTGCTCTCATCAATGTTTGATATTGAGGTTTATTTGTTCCTTTGCTTTCTTTTTTTTCCTTTTCATTTGGTTTAGGTTACAAAAAAACAAAAAGGGATATGTGAAGGACGGATGGATGCTAAGAAAGAAACAGATTTAGAGGATGACTAATGGAAAGGATTCATTGTGTGCATTCTATTTTATCTATTGCAGATATTACCGGCTTTACCTGTTTTGGAACTGAAAACTTCACTGAGCCGGGCTCCAATCTCTGAAGACGACGTTGAGCCAACTGCTGAAATAACTGTTTATTCTGGACAAACGTTTTTTTTTTCTTTTTGTTCCAAAATAGTTTTTATATTATAATCATTCGGATGTATTTTTATAACCGCTTCAAAAGGATATCGGAATGAAGGGAAGGGGACGATGTAATAATGAGAGAAGCGAGAAATGCTTACCTGTGCTTCTCATGTGTTTCTTTGAAGTTTCTGAACAGAAACAAATCTGATTGTTGTTTCATAGTAATTTTTAATAGGAATTGATAAAACTCATTTCCAGTATGTCTTTTGTCGTGTAATAGGATCCGTTATAGTATTCATATATATATATATATATATATAGTACTAATGACACACTACGTTCAGCAGTGAAACAATGCGTCATTTCTTTTAGCTTCGAACACAATGTATCATTGGTGAATACTAGTAAAATTATTGCAATACGGGATGTTAATTTGGTCATTCGACAACCGAAGGTATGCTATTTTTTGAAATTTAACGGCAACTATTCGCCTTTCACGTTTTGAAGTGTTCAAGGCGTATTTTCTCTACACTGTTTTCCTATATGAACGTTAGGCTTTAACATGTAAGAGAATACCTCTTAGCTTAAATTTCGGGATTGGACTGAAAAAATCTTCCACATCTCTTGAGCAGTTTGCAAGGTGACTTCGTAAACATTCATTTCTTTTAACGATCTTGGATTCATCAAAACAGTTTTTCAAACTCGCGTTTGGCGAATCAGAAATGGCTAGCAAATACAGAATGAAGGATTCTAATTTTCCTATTCCTTTAGGTTTGTGGTGGTCCATGTATGATTGAAATTGCTAGCACTGAATGGCTGGAAGATAACGATAGCGCTGCTCAGTTAAGGCGGATCGAACCCTTGGAAAGGAAACAAATCAAATTTAGGTAAAACTTGGATTTGTTATATGTTAGCAGCATATCTTGCATTTTGAATCATATTTCTTGAAGTCCAGATTTTTTGTAGAACCTTTTCTGAGGCTAGAACTTTGACTGAAGTAAATAAAACTCAGTATTTTCAAATTCTTTTCCAATGATTTACTTTGGAATGACGTTTCTTGAGCTTTTGACTTCATAAGAAAAGTGTCGAGTGATGTACATATTATTATCATCCAGAATTTTCGGAATTGATCCATCGGCTATGGCTGAAGATGGTTCACAAAAGGAGCGAAACAGTGAAGCAGAGGTTTTTGTTTACGATGCCCCATCTACGGAGGAAACGCATGACCGAATACCATTTACCGGGGTATCTGATAATTTTTTCCAGTTCTCTGATTAGATCCGTTAAGGAAACAAAACATAAGGGAAACTTAGAATGCATAGAGTTATATAAATACATTAGTTAAAAAAAAACTAGTTGGATTAATTGAACAAATAAATAAATGTAAACGTAAATATAAATATAAACATATAAATATATATGGTAAAGTAAATAAATAGAGTCAACTATTACTGCAAATTTCAATTTAAAATAGTTTTTCCCAAACTTGGCAATTTTATTTGATTTCCTTCGTAATTTCAGAGATTATTAACTTGTGAATTCATTTTTTATTATCGAGCTGACATTGATGGCCCAAGCGGAGAAGTAATTTTAATGATTTTTCAAAACAATCTCTCTCGTCATTTTTTTTTAAATTTATATGCTTCTCAAAAGTGTAGGAGCAGAATCACATTAATTCTATTCATTGTTATATATATATATATACATATATATATAACAATGCATATATATATAATCAAAAAATATGATTTTTAGCAGTATGAAAGACGATGTCGATTACCTTTGGCGGTATCAATCGTTCCTGCGGTAACAGTTGCTGCTTGGCATGTATTGCCTGGTGATGGACCAACAACGAGATATGTAGTTGTGGACGTGACAAATAATACTGAATGGGATGCTGAATTAACCTATGGGAAGGATCGAGTGATCGGCGTACAGCCTAAGGAGTTTTGCAGGTAATTTAACCAAGTGGTTTAGCCTGCATACTTTAGACTGTTAGTAATACTGCTGATGGAAGTTTTTTTCTAGTCTTTTTTGATCTTATAAAAGAAATGTATGTTGGGTCACATTTCGTCAATGCCCCTTGATTTTAAGCTTAACTTGGGGAAATATGTTACTATCGTTGATTCGGCTTTTTTGCCCTTAATATCATTTTTTCTTTTTGGAGGAAAGAACCTTTCAATAGTTACTTTCTCAGAGTACCGCTGCTATGCAAATGCTGTTCCGAAGTATCATCAAATGCATTTCAAGAAGCAGCCAGTCGGGCATCCTATATGATGCAAATGCAGGAAATGGAACGGTTACGGCAAATTCTAGAACGTCATGTTTCCTGGCATCTGGATATTCGTTGGTCTATCTCTAGTTCAAGTCTTTCAGGATCAGTACCTGTCGGACCTTTGCTCTCTTCCGTTTCATTACTCAAACAACTTGTTGTACCGGTGATTTCTGTTCGTAAGTACTTTGCTTATTAATCAGTGAACGGTTTCATTCTACTTTAAGAGTAGTGTCTTGTTTTTTTTAAGATTTGCATTTCATAAACACGGGTAATAATTTGTCATTTGTAAATTGCAAGTGGATTTTCAATAACCGCTTCCTTGTTAAGGACAATTTTTTTTTTTTTTGGTAAAGCGAAACAAGTTTTTTAGACGTTGCTTTCTCAATTCACTGCTCTTCAAATATTTTTCAAAGTAGTATTGAATGCAAGACTTAAAATTTATTCGTTTAGGATTATTTCCAATATTATGCCGATGGCGCCTTTTAGAGCTTCTGAACTACTCGGATGTGGTGTCGATATATCTTTTTCATTAAAAATTATCATTTACTGCAGAACACTGCAATAAATTAGAGATGAATTCGGGGATTTTTTATTGCTTTCAGAAATAGAATAATGAAAGTGTTTTGTATCTCTGATTTAACTTCCAAAATTCAGAGGCTAATTTCAAAGGAATGCCGTTCTTAAGTGACGATGAAATTACTGTTGGTATCGGTGAAATAATCGAGCTCAGTTTAAGTTTAATTACTCCTACAAACGGTAACGTTCGCAGAATTTGAAATTGTTTAATCTTGTTTCTACTGAAGCTGATAATAATTTTATCTTCGCAGCTTTGCAAAGTATAAAATGAGATAATGATAAATATAGACATTTCATTAACATTGCAGTTTTTATAATGTTGTTATCCTTGTCGTACTGTTTTTCATAATTAGTTGGTTTCTTGATTTTGATATCGCAATAAAAGAAAAATCATTCATTCTAATGCGTTTTTATCATTTTTAGACACTCGTTCGTTTAGTGGTTTAATACAGCTCCAGTGTTACCGCGATTTACAAAATGGGTCCTTCATTGAAAGTAATGAAAATATGATTGTGCTTAACACTGAAAGTATACCGTTTCACATAGCGCAGGTATTTTACATTGTTCTCTTTGATTCATATTTCTGTTTCAAAACTTCGTTTGTATTCTCTAACATTTGCTTTTTACCTTATTAGGAGTAGGATAACCGATATTTTCTTCCATATTCCAAGCTTTTCTTACTATTTTTTCGAGATGGATTGGCAGTTTCCGTGATGGAAAGTATTCTTTAAAGTTAAAACAGTCATTGAATTTGTCAGGAAGAAGCGGTTGAAATAACTACTGTATCACCGGCGGATACTATCTCGATCGAAAATGACTATGCACCAGCAGCAATTGCTAATTTCAGTAATGAACCTGTAAAACAAGAAATGATTCAGGAAACATTTCATGCTAACTTCCAACTTTTGTTCCGCTATGAAGGAGCGCACAAGGTGATTTTTTTAAAAAGCTTTTTGAGATATAATTGAAGTTTGGAAATTGTCATTTCTAAAAATAATAAGGAGTTTGGATGAACTTTTGGAAGGCTTCTGTTACAGATAAAGCCACTCATTATTCTGAACGACAAATCATCTCAAATCTCGCCAGATGAATTGTTTTGTTGTGCTATTTCGTTCAATGTGATCACAAAAGTTTCGTGATGTAATACATCATCTGATGTTTTGCGGGTCATTTGTATATCCCTTCGACTTTCCTCGTCTTATGTCAATTTCTATGGCGTTTGACAGTGTAAAATTTTGCTCAATTTGACTGTTTGGCATTGAGAAGTAGTGCAACTGTGTATAGAAACAGAATACTCTGAAGCAGCTAGAATCCTTGCATCGCTTCCTATTGGTTTTAAGAAAACTGAGACAGCGTTACGTCAGTAACAACAAAATTCAACATAATATTGAGTTATGAAGAAGTTGCTTAAAATTTCAATCAGGATTAAACGATTCATATTTGTGTTAAAAATAGGCAGTTTTATAAATGCATTTACATTCTTTGACGAAGAACAATGTCATGGTCAATATCCTCGAATATTTCTCCTAAGATTTTAGCTATGTTTACGAACAGAAAATCATGATACCTAGGGTACAAGAGAGTAAAGTCATGAATCTTTGTGATAAAATTCCATCTATGTATCTGGCGGATTGATCCAGCTGGTGTCGCGTGCATGCATAGTTATCGAATGATCGCAACACGGATAATCGTAGAAGTTATTATAATAAATTCACATTATACAGATGTCTCATCATCAGAGATGTTGATGGTGACAATGCTACCGAAAACGAATGTAAAAATGAAACCAAAAAAACATACAGAGAAATCAGTGGAAGATCCCGAACTTGAGATTCCATAGAAAATATGAGTGTAATTCGCTTGTACTTATTCCATTCAGAGATTTTGTTGAAAGAAATAAGGAAAATAAAAGTGCTGTTTACTTTCCAAGTCGCACATTGTTAGTTCAAATGAATTGGAAGTTGGCTGTTTTCATCTGTCAAGCTTTGTTGATTATTTCTATGAGTGAGCAGTCACTGTTTAATATTTATCCGAGACTAGATAAAAGCAAAGTGGGCATTATCGCAGCCAAGTGTGTTTTGGACTGAAATTTACAAACATAAGTATAAATTTCTCGCTAACTATTTTATGAAGCTCAATCATTTGTATGACAGACTTATTGAAATAAAAGAGTTTAACTTCAAGCTACAAAATGAACGGTATTATCAAAAGTGGTTGTTTGGTCCGAATTGATCAATATCATCGCAGAGCCGAGGTACAGGGACGTGGAGTGTGCAGAAGAATTTGTAAGAAATCAAATAAAAAACTGAAGATACTTGAAGCTATATTTTGCAAGAAGAAAGCAACAACACAGATCAGATACGATTTCTCAGTGGGTTTTCCTCCCATCAGATCTTTTTCTCCGTTTGGTTCCTTAAAGAGCAAATAACCAATTCTTGAATCACGTATATAGAACCTTTCTCTGTAGTACCGGTAATTTCTCGATGGATGTAAATATTCTGAGAATTCCTGGATGTTCTGTAAATATTCTGAGAATTCTTGGATGCACACTACCTCGTGCATCAGTAGATGCTGGAAATTTTTCTGTACGACAGAAAAGAAGGAATATCATAGGTGAAATAGTAAATGGATTGCACTAGGCAATTATTCTCACTCATCATGTCATGGTGATGTGAGTTATGGTAGGAATGATTATAATCAGTTACAACAGCTTCTTAACAGATGTTATTCATACTTGTCATTTATTAACAAATAGTCTAAAAATGGCCAATGCGACATCACACTTCCCACCAGTCTTTCATTTGTATGTTTTTCATTATTTAATATTATTTAGCATGTCTTCTCTCATGTTTAACAGCGTTTATGAGGCAGAAAATTTCACATTTCCAATAATCGAACTGTGACAGTAATTACCCATTTCAGATTAAGAACTGTTCGCAAATACCCAAACAACATCAACTGTGTCTTATCCGAAACATTAGTTACAGTAACTCATCAGATGCTTTCCCCGTGCAACTTAAACTTCATCGATGTCGAAAACGCCTAACTGTGTAATGAGGATTTTACAGCTAATATGATTGTGTCAACTTGCGAAACACTGCCTTAAATGTTATGTATTAAGTGGAATAAGGAAAATAACTATGCCACATATGCTTCTGATTGTATCATTACAGATTACATTTAAATTGGATCAATTCATCAAGTATACTCAAAGGAAGCAAAACAAACAAAATAAGATCATTATATACTTGATGAATCAAGTAAAAAGCAGCAAATTGGCAGTTTACCACAAGGAAAAAACAAAAGGGGCAGTATGTAATAAACATGAAGTATATGAACATTCAACATTGGTGTAAAGTAATGAACTTTTCCACTTTTGGTGGAGCTCGAACATATCTTCTCCTAAATGTTACTGACCCCTGTTGAAAAAGGGAAAAGCAATACAAACAAAAATAGGAACGATGATGATGCGAAATATAATTTCTCGGAGAACATTTAAAATCAATTGAAAGAATCATCACACTAGCAAGCAGAATATACAGAGTTGATCTTCAGAAATTTATAATTTCTAACAAATCTAAAAAGCATTCAGCTTCGACAGAAGCGATTTTGCAATTTCTGATGTGAGTCACGAAAATTTGGCTACACCGAAAAAAAAGTTGTATAAATTAAGAAATTTGAAACAAATTCTGGAGGACACAAAAATTTGGAAGGCAGTTGCTGAAGTTGAAAATTGACCCAACAAAGTCTGAAATTAGTTTTTTTTCGAAAAATTGAAAGTAACTTTTAACTGAAACTAAACGAAATAATTTGACGAAGTTATCAGGTCCATACGAGAAAATTGCAATAAGATTTTAAAATCTAAATATATATATATTTCAACAGTCTTGATGAGACTACTAGGACATTACATTTTTACTTTTTATAAAATTCCTTTTACCAACCTTCTTTTAAATTTACGATTGGTAAGTTAGGATGAAGTAGGGACGTCGATGTATACACAAGGAAAATATTATCAGTATTGGAAAATATTGAGCATTCAGAAAGTTTGAACGAATAACAGACAAATTAAGCACAAAGAGAGGGAACTCACTGAAAGCACGGTAATATTTATCACAATATTAACGAAATAAAATTGATAGAAAAAAGGGAAAGAAATTAGGGCCTGGTATGTTAGTAATTTTAGGGGAAAAAGTTTTGTTCAGAAATTAAAAGAAAGATCTCTGTATGGGTTCAGTAGCCAACTAGAATTAAGTGAATTAATGGTACCCAAGTTGAGAGTTAAAGTTTCAGATCTCTCCAATAATTTGGTGGTAAATTTCAGCCTCATAATCATCTATAGACCTAACTTCAGATTCTCGATCCAAGCATATAAATTTATCCGAAGTCCTGTTTAAATCTTGAATTGAAGTTAGATCTAAAATACGAGGAACTACTGCTAGGAAGAAATAAATCTGAAGATTTATCACGATCAAATTGAAGAACAGCAGGGTATTCAGCAGTGAATTGTCCTGTTTCATACAACCTTAATCATTCCGGCAGTAAATTCGCTCTTAGCTAAAAATATGCCCAATTCTTGTTTGTGCAGCGGAAGAACTGACGCTTCGAAAATACCGTCCGGAATCAACTCTACCACTACTATCTGCACCCATCACGGCATATGGTGAATCGAACATTTGTGGGTTGACGAGCGCATACCCATAAAATCTGCAAGTCATATACACAGGTTTGAATTCCTGAGTTACTTTAAAATCGTCTAATTAAGGGATTACAAACTCGTCATCAAAACAATAGCAAAGTTACAGTTGATTTTATGCAGCATATCCAGTGTAAACAATCCAAATTCAAAGGCTTTGCAAAATGATAAAAAATTCGTTTTGAAAAGCATCCGAAAAAAAAAAACTGAGATAATAAAGGAACTACAATCAAATTCGATACGGGAATGGTTCTGACAAACATCAGAACTAATTCAAAAACTACTAGATCCCAAAGTTTTATGAAACAATAAAATCGAAAACATGAAAAAAACGTGCCCAGAGTCGATCCTGTAAGGTTGATCGTAGTAACGCTTCGAGGCCTGATAATAACATGGATTTTCATCTGTTGACCAATAAATCGATTGTTCCTCCATGTGTCGAACTGGTGGTGTCTAAATCTCGATCGAAAACTTGAAATTCTTTTATTATTACCTTTCAAGGGATGAAATGAAAATATTTCGTATTTCTAATAAAGTACGATGTAGTCAAGCATACTTAATCAACATGCTCTTATTCCAGTTTAAACTACCGAATTTTTTCAAATGTTAATTTAGTGTCTTATCTAAGCTAATCGACTGAAAGACCATTTCAGAAACTATCGTAATTGATATTCACGACTGGCACAAACAGAAATCAGTCAGCTGATGATGTCATTTTCAAAATATTTATCATTGTTACCGAAAGTTAGTCGAAACAAACAAATAAGATAAATAATAAATATTTAAGCTTTATACATTAAATATATAACGAAATACCTGAAGCTGCGGACTGATCAATGTTCGCAGAGTACCATAGTTGTTCTCATTACACAGTAAGATGGTTGATGTGCTACTTGTAGGCTTCCAATGTATCGTGTACAAGAAACTGAACCACAATCAGAATTTTCGCAGCAGGTGGAAGATAAGAAGTTTCAATTGCTATGAATTTAAAAGTGAATGAAGGTTTTTTTTTCGAGCTAATAATAAACTATGCAAAAGGAACAAGCTGATTTTAAAAGGAATTATACATCAAATAAGGTGCAATTTCTTCAGATATTTAGAAAGTACATATTTGAATCATGGATTATCATTTGACTGCTAGTTTCAAAACTCCCTGGAGCTTCAAAAAGTCCGGCAACACTTGAACTAAGACTTCAAATCTTTCTATCAATAACCAAATCAATTTTTGAACTAAAAAGAAAAGTCAAAAAAAAAAATGGCTAGCAGTATGATTCGTCTTTGGAAACGTCGTCGATGTATAGAAGCATTTGGCCACTAAGGAAGATATGGTGTATTGAATGTCCCGTCAGTTTTGGCATTAAAGCATTTTAACACAATTTACTATCTGCGCGCAATAAAAAGCAGGAAACTTCCGGCATTAAGTTTTTCCTTTCTGTCCTTAACAATGTAAAAAGTTCCTCTAATCGAAAGAAAGATTAAAAATCAAACCCGATGACAGCAAACGTGGAACAAAATGTGCATATAATACAAGCAATAGCAGCAGAAGTAGTTAATATTAAAGCCGCTTCAATAATTACCCAACGAAGTCCCTCAACTGTAAGCAACAACGCTGCCTAAATTAAATTCATAAAATGGTAAAGTCGATTATATCAGATAGCGGTCACCTGAAAATTGTATTGGGACATGCGAAACCGCACCGGATTTTCTAAAATATGTCAAATTTGAGGAATAAAAGTGATTACCAGAAAGTAGGTGTTGGATATGGCATAGTTAACCATGAACAAAGCTAATGATGCAGCTACCACGTTCAATGTTGTCACCGAAAATAACAAGGCCGGATAGCATAGTGATAATGCCTAAATAAAACATCTATCCACAGTAATAAAATTACAGAAATGGAAAACGTTGCACACTTGCAAATGTATAGAGTGAATTTTCCATATCAACTGATTTTTAAGATTTTAGAAAAGGAAAAAGCGTAAGCAGCGTAAGTACCTGCAAGATGGAAATGCCAAACACCAGCAGACCATTACCCATTTGGAAGAAAGGAACCTGGACCAGCGATTCAGAAAACATCCAGTAACCGAGTGTGAACACAATGTTACAACCAACAAGTACTATGCCGTAGAACATATTGCCCAAAAGTAATATTATGTGCATACCTTAATTTATTGGTGACAACAAACCAGAAAGCAGACGATATGAATTCCAAATTTACTTTTCTACTAAATATCAGCTACATTACTACTTTCATTAATCGCAAAGGTTGCGTGTATTCCGTCGCACATTTTCTTCTAATAGCTCTTGTATTTCAGTTATCCTTACATAAATTTTCTGACAGAATAATTTAACAACAAAGATAAAAGACTGCGTTTGCTTTTCATAATTTTATGTACTATGAAGTGTCATAACTTTTGCCCTGTTTAAATTTTAAAAGTTTAACCAAATAACTGCATCTCAAAATTTTCAAACTCAGCATAACAAAGAAATTATTGCCAACATGTGGAATACTTCACTGCATGGCGGTATCGCTGTCTCAATGCACGACCGTATATGACAACAGAAAAGAATCCAGTGAGGGTTTCCAAGAATAAAATCTGGAATAAAAAATAAGTTCATATTTATTGCTGGAACTTAATTTGAAGGATGAAATTTCCAATAAACATTAGTCCTAAAAATGGTCTACAGCCCTGAACATTTACTATCACACAAACACCGTTTGTCAATAAACTGATAAGATGTGTGTATGTATGTATATGACTGCTTAACAAACTATTTCCAAGGAAAATGATTTCAAATGCAGTTCCGGATTCCTCTTCAGAATAAGATGGCGAATACTAATAGTTGAAAAAGAATTGTTCTATTGATTAGAAAAGTCAATGACCTGACAATTTTGTCATTTACTTAAGTAAATCATGCAACTGAATTTCTCGAACAATTGGAAAAAAGATGGATTTCTCGTCATCTTCATACTGCATCATTATTTACATAGATTCTATGCAAAACCACAGCGGAATTTTTTAATCACTTCGAGTGTGGGCATAAACAATGATGTTGAAAAGCTCACTGTAAGTTGCACACAATGTAAAACTAATCGCCCAAGAAATACATCTTCAGGACCATGAAGAAATGCCGGGTAAGTTGCGGATTGGTATGTGAGATTGATACTTGAGCACATCTTTTCTAGGGCGGATGTGAAACAGATAAAACCAAGCAAAAAATGGAGTGATAACTGCGAGCTATAATAAAAAACGAACCAAATATTTGGTATAATGATGTCAATTTCAGTATACTCATATTAATATAAAGTATTTTATCATCCTTTGTAATATTACAATATTCGACTACATCTGGACGATATCAGAGCAAAGAAGACATTCTACAGAAAATCAATTCCATTGAAAGAACACTGCTTTGCACCTTGTTCAGTAATGAATTTTAAAACACACAGAAATTCGGAGTGGTAAGATGATTCAAACAAAATTTAGTTTTATAAAGGAGATGAACTGAACTAACAATCATTAAAACATTACCCGGAATGTGTGATGTGTAATATTCCTGTAACAAAGAGCAAAACAGCAAGCCACATTAAATCAGCACCAATATAATTTGCATTCCAAGGTACGTCAATCAATCCAAGTACCACGAGAACCATCAGTAACATCCCCCAAATGAAATGCAGCAACCCCAGGCATCTACAACAATCACTGAATCTTTTCAACGGATTTCAAACGAATTCATCTAGCTCATTCCCCATTTCTTATTTATTAAACAATTTCGAATAATGATTTCCTTCATCCTAAATCTAAACCTTTCCCATTTTTTCTGTTATCCTTTATTGAATATCAGTTATCAACTTCAACTTCTTCTGTTCACTTTTCAGAACCGAATAAAATCCCATCTAATTACAGTTCATTTCTAATCTTCCGAACCAATCCGAAATATTATTTTAGTTGAAAATATTTAGAAGTTGGCGAATATGTGAGAACCAATAATTACAATTTGAAAAATGATGTAGACAGACCTGCTCTGTAAAGAGACACTCTTTTGGATCATCGAATCTTCATTATAATATTCGTACTGGATACATTTACCAGCTTGAACAGCAGACAGCAAATTTGAACCGAAAAGCAAAGCAAACAGGGTCACCGAAATACCTTCGATGATGATGATCAAATAAGTTCGATCTACCGTACTATGGACTGATAGTGCTACAATTTAGAATGATAACAATAATCGTTACAGAATAAAGTAACCAGAATTTCCGTAAAAAGAAGATCACGGCTACTTCTGTGGCATATCTCTTAGAAGTAACATAATTTAAATTTTTGAAGTGATATGAATGAGAGGGAATACCTGGAAAGTATGAAACTTCGACAAAGCTATCAATTATTTTACCAGTATTTTTTGGAGAAAGGAAACAAATCATTGTAAAAGAAGGTAATGAAAAAAAAGATGGAGAAGAAAGAAGAGAAAGAAACTGCAATTCACAATGACGGGAAAAGTGAGAGCTAACTTTGAGTTCCATTTCGAGTAACTGCGTCTACTCCACGCCATATCTGAATATCATTGTAGTAATAAGGATACATTTCAATATCTAATGATTTAAGGCACCAAACTGCTGCAATCACAGATATTCCGATCGCAACCTGCAAACCTATTATTTATCTCATTAATTATGAAACAATTTTCCACGTCTGATATGCTTGAAACAATCGATATGGCTGTGATATAATATGGTGTAAAAAACGATAAATGCATATCAATTCAGGGATAAAAAAAAGCAATACCTTATAATTAGCTGCGGGTTGTCTACTGATGACAGCCGAATGCATGTCTACGATTGCGCTTACAATTGCCAAGAGCGCAGCAATGTGATCGAGAGCGATTAACACAAATGGGTCTTTACTTAACATCTGGAACAGCAAATGGAGTTGAGGATTGAATTAAAGGTAGAAAATGAAAACCGTTTTCTCAGATTACGTGAAGCATTCTGGCTTGAGAAGTTCAGACCGGATTTGTTGGTAACAATTAATATGACACTAATGAAAACTAACCAGTTGATGTTCATACTCGAGGAAAATAACCAAAGCTAGAGTGCATAATGCCAGAAACAATTTTGCCGCAGCCAACGCAGTAAAGCACAGGCGGTTCGCACGAAATTTCCTATTCTGGTCACGCTACAAATCGTGCGGCATTTTAACATTTCAGGTTTCGTATTATTACAAATTTGCCAAAATTTATTCCTTTTTTCATCGAGCAAATACAAGTATTACGAGGAGTATGCTTCCAGCAAAAGACAAATTAAGAAACGGCTTCCACATAAGGAAACAAATGGTTTGAAAAGCCTAGAATAGAAGCAAAGAATTTTGAAATTCAGGTGAAAACAACATTCATGAGTAGTACTTCATCCTTCGATAAAATGATTATGAAAAGATCCAGCAAATAAAAAGATATTTAGCAGCTACTCACCGAGAATTGTGGCCAGATAGGTTGGCTAACTACGATAAGACGGTCGAGAAGTGCAGCAGCGACGAGTGCTGCTAAGCAAGCGACGATTGGTACAAAAATCATGAGAGAACAGATAACCAATTTGGCCGTAAAGTTCTCCCTAACTTCATCATACTGTATTT